TCTGGCCTCTAACCATTGACCAATCTGGTATGAGTGCCTCTGAAGGTGCAAAAGCACCACCCAGCATAGCTCAATGGATTGCTGAGGCACACAAACCATCGCACCACGGTAAGATCCAGCCTCATTACGATTCACAGTGTACTGGACCTAGCATAGGCAAGGTGGAGAGCAATAGACAGGTAGGCACTTTGTCAACGTCCACATCAAGCGCAGCCATACCGGGGATATCAAAAAGCATCGCAGGTTGTTCCAAATATTCGCCACCCTCCGCTCGAAGCAAAGTTGGTGGGCGACCCGCTTCAAATCCGGTGCGACAAGTTTGTACCGGTGTCTTCGTGTGCTGCTTGATGGGCGCAGATGAAGCAGCGGCCTCAACATGGGGTAATCACAGAAATGTAATTTCCGGTGTGTCATGAAGAGGTCAACCCGCATTCGACGATAAGCCAGTGTACAACCCTTGTCTCTTGCGCCGGTCTTCATATGGCACACCTCGTAATCCGGGGATGCACCTAGTGGCAACATGCTGTACTCGCTCAATCCTTTGCACCTCGCCCCAGCTGAGCGGACAGTAGTCGGGTGAGCTGTACTCTAGCATTAGTTTGATAACATAAGAGACCAAATGAAGACGCTGCGTTTGAGCGTCTAGAGCATATGCAGTCCGTTTTGGTAAAGCCTGACCGTGTTTTCAACGGATTTCAAATCGCAGCGTGAGAGCATGCCGAGATCTTTCACGGATGACGATGGGTGTAATCGTTGGCCGGCCAGATTGTAGACTCGGCCATAACCACCCTTGCCCAGGCTCATGCATACCGACTTGACCGGGTTCATCGGAAGGTTGATCCTTGCTGACCACATGGGGAGACGGTCAAAGTCACGCTGAAGCAGGTCGCAGTTGTCAGGCGCCTCAATTACCCTCCATACCTAAAGGTCAGCTGCAAACAACGTGCAAGGTGAACTGAGAAGCTGAGGCAAGTTGTTGATGTGGATCAAGAACAAAATGGGCCCAAGGACAATCCCTGCGGGACGCCACTGGTCGAGGGATACCACTAGGTCAAGTGGTTGCCCACCTGCACCGTCCAAGTCTGACCAATAAGGAAGTCACTAATTCACTGATGCAGTGACCCACCAACATCATCACTAACATCGTCAGCATGCGTAAGAGGATCTCGTGATTCACTTTGTCGAACGATTTCCTGAAATCGATATGAATGACGTCAAGCGACTTCCCTTGGTCTAGCGCTTAAAACCATTCGTGCCTCGAGATCAGCAGGTTTGTAATGCATGACCACCTTTCAGGAAACCATGCTGCGAGGACGCCAAGCTGCATTTCGACTCGAGATGCTGCAGAAGACCACGCTTCATGATTTTCTCGAGTGTCTTAGACAAAACTGCGATCAGGCATGTCGGTCGGTAGTTGTCCACCTTGCTCGGATCGCCGCCTTTCGGAATCGGTTTCACCATTGAAAAGTCGTACAATCGTTACCGGCGTGCAATGGACAGATTAGTACTGTCTTGATCAGGGCTGTCAGTCGTTTCGTGAGTTAGTTTGCACTCTCCAAATACAAAGCACTCCTCCAAAATTGGCGGGACTTTGGTGCAAATCAGCTATAAGTCCTTCAGAAATCTTACTATCTGTAAAGTTGCATCAGCACCCGTGGAATAGATGGGATCACACACTGTTTTGGTTAAAGTTCGAGGTTTTTCTTGTCAATCTTCGCCGCTTGTGGCGTAAACAAGTCTACAATGTTCCTGTGTGGTCAACCGTACTATATGGTTGTAAAACTTGGCGTATCCCATCAACGGACATAAACAAGCTAATTGCATTCGACCGCCAGGATCTTTGCAGTTCAGCAGATATCTAAGGAGAATACCGCATGAGCAATGGGCGCGTTCGCCGTCTTGATTGGGGTAAAGGAAAAATAAACGAACCGCTCAGCACCGTTAATTCACGCACCACTCTGTTTGCGCGATCAAAGTACGGACGGAAGGACAGCAAATGAAGGGGAATGAAGACCCTCACTTCGAAGTTGGCTTCAAGTAATGAGCGGCGACTCTATGGTTGAAGTCACAAAGACGATACGTTTATCAACTCGGCCAAGAGCGGATCTCAACGGTGCTTGTGGTGTGAGTTGATTCGTCCCGCAATATCCCACTTAGCTTCTCAGGTACGTTCGACCATCGCGTAAACAATGAACCTGTTCAGCGCCGTGTATTTGGTGCATGAAGAGGTAGTAAACCGGTCAGCACCAGTAGATGGCGCACCAGGCTCCAATGGCGGGGCCACGTGCTGCGCATGCCAGCATAATGACTCCCGCGACTTGCGTTGTTTGCGCGCCTGCGTTCTGGGTGGAGAGAAGGGGAGACCAAGCGATGGATTTATCGAGAGGAGTGAAAACTTCACTTGGAAGTTGGCTTCGGTTGATGTCTCCTGATTGCCAGGCTAGAGTCTCAAGAGCAATGAACACGTTTGGTTGGATACACAGGTATCAGCAGTATGCCGGCAGGCAGAACCGACGCTTCGTTGTCGCGTAACCACCAACAGTCGCGCGTGGGCCAAAGATACTGCGATGGTCGCCCGGTCCCCTACGCAAACTCGAATCAACATCCTCAGATTACAAGGTAGGCTTGTGATCCTTTAGGCCACAAGCCGGAAGTGTCGCAGTAGGTTGTTCGTTGTCGCCCAGCAAGCGTTCTCCCTATAAAAACCACATGTCAGTTTAACAACACCGTGAGTTGGCGGATGTGACCCGCCACTAAATCAAGTCACTGTTTCTTGCTTCATTCCAGTGGAGCATTGTATTCCAGCAACGCAAAGCTGAAATTTTGAGGATTGGACCCCTGTTTGGCAACCTACCAAACGGAAGGTGCATGTACTGAGCAATCGGTCACCGCCTCCTGATGAGTGCGATTTCCTGAATCCGCTCCGATGCCTTGCGGGCAGGATAGTTAGCCAAAGACTCGGGGTGATATGCTCGAATACGGCAACTGGGTAGTATTGTTCCCTCTGACGAAACCGTAAGCTTCTTTGTGCTGTGTATGGTATTCCTTTAAAGACAAACGTAATTTGCTTTGATTAGCGTGGTTTTGATGGCTCTACCTTTATTTGTAAACTGTTGCAAACATATAAATTGGTTGGATAAACCTGTAGATACGATGAAGTGACGGCCCCAATGACGTTTGTGTTATGAGTTTCCTTGTACATCCCCAAGCTCTGGATTACCACTGCAATCACGATTTCATAACAAATGCATAAGATGCCATCTAACATTATACTACTTGATTTTTGAACTTTTTTAGTCTGCAATTGTTATTATCTTATTGTTGTATTGCGACACATTAGCTGAGGTGCGTTTCGCACCTTCAGCTAACGTGTATTGATGAGGAGGATGCTTAGGTTTTTTCTCCCACGGTGGTGACATTCTCGATAGACAATAAAAACAAGGTATAAATTATTCATTTGAATTTGCATCAACGATTATTCTGCCTCTATTCTTTCGTACATCTGACAGAATGGTATTGTGGCACAATAGTTGAAACGTTCCTCACCTCTAACTAATGTGTAGTATGATGGTGAAGGTGATATAACATCTGGCGAACTGGAGGTCAAAAGCCAGCAGATATACTCGCATGCGTGAGCCGATTGACAAATTCAGGCGAACGTTAGGCGAAAGTGGAAATATTATGTAGTGGGTCCGACTGATCTGTTGGTGAGTTGCCATCAACTTTACCAACTACCATCTTCGAGGAATGTGTTGAAGTCACCGTTTTTATTACGCACATTCCCGCCTTTCGGACAGATCAGAAAATCTTACAATGGTCGATGGACTGAATTCGTTCTCACTTAATAGCATAAGCTGTTTATGTCATTATTGTTTTTTCAGTAATAAGAGATTAAATGCGTTGAACTTTCTACTCTAAAGCTGGTTTTAGTACTGCACAGCTATTCACATGCATCTCTAAAAGAAATCATAACTGGTGATGTTTGAAAACTTATTAGATCATGTAGCGAGGGCAGAATAAGCCAACTGAAAGTTAACCAATGCGAGAAAGAAATATGCAGTCGACGGAAAAGTCGGCATCAGATCAAACACCAATCAACGGTTAGTTGCACAAGAACAGAATAGCGCGGCCAAAGTTTTCGTTCTGTGTGTACAGCAGCCGATTGTCGGAAGAGATTCGGCAACAGGTCCGGAGTGGCTTTACAGCGGTGACGAGCGCAGCGCTACCGAATTTGGTGGGCTAAAACCCAAACAATCGCACAGGAAGCCTCTCATCCCTTCTAATGGATACCCAGACATTATGCACAGACAGTAAGGTGCTACCACTTAGTCATAATAGGGGGAACTTTACCCAGACTCGTAACTCAACCATATGCGTACAAAAGGAAATCGCTCATGCTTTCTGTTTACCCCCACCCCACAGGTCATTTCATCTAGTGACGAAGATCACGCCAATTCCCCTAAATTAGCCTTACCCAATGCGATCATACAGTCTTATGAGTTACAAGCTGAGCCTGACATAGAATCACTGAGAACAAGTTAGCTCACTAAGTTATATCAGATGCTGCATAAAATGAGTAAGGCAAATGCCTCAACTCTCCAAGTCCAACCTCTGGGTTTGCCCGAAGCTCAGTATATGCTAACAAGCTATATGCTATCATGCATTGAAGATGCCACCCCGATTGGTGGGGAAGTCGGAAATCAAATTGCTTAGCTAGGAGAACCAATCAAGACTTCAACCACCAACCCGAGCTATCGGTATTAAGACTTGTTGCAAATACAAAAGGCCAATGTTCACGAGGCTACGTAAGGCACGACATAAATGTACTGGTGGCTTCCAAATCCGTCTTGCATCAAAGTACCTACACCTCATTATTTGGGAGCCAGAACTGTTCAAATAATTCCGCCGGTTAATGACCGAATGGCAGAGAATGCAAGCAAGGAATATATTCGAAATGAATGAGAAAGTAATAAATTAGACTTTCTTAAGGTCAAAGGTACCTTTCAAAATCTCATGTAAACTAGCCGTGGTGTCTGCTAGTGGCAACGTCTGATTCGGTTGAGCCGCACATATAAGTCGGCGTAATGGGTCGGTCCATAAAGCATCCCATAAAGAAGGAAGGCCACGTTGAAGAGTTCCAATGCAGCAGCCAGTTGACTCGTCCGATTTCGCCAAATCAGGTGACCGCAGAAAAGTATGGCACAAGTGAGCGAGTGCCAAGGCGCTTCCGCGACGCTGAGACTCGAACCAAAAGCGTTCCACTCGTTGCTCGGAGCCTGGTAGAGTACGCTGGAAGTGAAGCGAAAGTCATTCAGACAACTGACAACAAATGGCTCAATGCAATGCAAAAACATTGAGGGACAGATTACCACATTAGACAACAGGAAGCGGTGAACGACATTAATGCTCTATACCCGCTTCCTCTTTAATCTTGCGCTTGAAGGCGTTCTGTCGAGAGGCTTAGAAAATTACCAACATTGTGGCCTATAGCGACTAACGGGTAAGTGAACGACTTAGACTATGCAGATGACCTCGTCTTACTTGGCGACGACTCGCAGAGTATGCAAACCATTCTAAATCGTTAGGCGATTGAGGCATTTAAGAACGGAATGTGCTTTGCCACATCGAAATACATAATGCACTCTAGAATAGGCACTTGCCATTTTCCGGGATCACCCTTGAAGGTGAACAGCTTAAACAAATGGACAACGTATCTACTTGGGCAGCTACGTGTCTGCTGGTGGCACTATTATGAAGAAAGTTTCCCTCAGCAGCGAGAAAGCTCGGTCTGCGTTTGCCAACCTGCAACACTTGTGGTGTCGTCCGGATGGCATCCTCTTGGTAAAGGGTCGTGTTTACAATGCCACAGTTCGGGCGGTGTTACTATATGGAAGCGAGTCATGGCCAATTCACGTAGACGACATGCGCCGGTTCTCGGACTTCGACAACGGGTGCTTGAGGAGGATTGCTCGTGTGTGGTGGCAACAATGCATCTGCAACAATGAAGTCAGACGTCGTAGCTTGTGGAATGCGAGTATTACCGTCAACAATCTGGTTTTGCCGCGACAGTTAAAATGGCTCGGTAACGTTCCGCGTATGTCAGCTGAGCGTTTGCCTCATCGCGTCCTGTTTGCTAATGTAGGACCCATATGGAAGAGCATGCGAAGGTCGTCCATCTGATGACAGCACTTGAAATCGCTGACTATAATTTTAACCGCCGTCTACTTGGTTGAGGGCCAAAGGACAAGTAATGTCGATGGCTAGAAACACCCCACAGTATGACACGCAGCCTAAATCAGTGGAAAATTTGTATACACAAATGTTCTATACAAGACTTTCCCTTCACAAACGTCAAAATAGCAAGAAGAAACAATTCAACAGAATAATCCGTATTCAGATATTTCGCGTCTTCTCGTCAGCTGTTTAGACAGGCTGTGGAATTAGTGTGCTACACATCATGCAAGGCGCAAAATCGTTCGCTTTAAATGAGCGCAATCGATTACCTCACTAAGGCAAGGCGAGAGTAGTCACAAAATCCGTATGTTTACATAAACTGGGTATCAACCGACGAATCGCGGAAGCCTCTGCAATTTGAAGCATACGTGCAGTGCGTTGTCTATTAATGATCACGAACGATTCCCGCGGATGTTCACACGTAAGGTAATCAAAAGCATGCTAGGCGATGGAGCAAACGGGCAGTTTGGAGCTGTTTGCCACCATGTTCCGTGAGACATGATCTGAAAGCCTCGCGAACAGCCTTTCAGTTCGGCCTGCGTACTTGCTACCACAGGTAGGATGAAAAAAGTAGATATAAGAGGCGGTAACTGTAAAGTCTGGACTGTCCAGGTTGGATTTACAGAACAAGTTTTTAACTTGATGGAGTAGTACTACATCGGTCGTTAAAATAGCATTCCTTCAAGGACCGGCGGAGAAGATACCGGAATCGTCCGTGATTTTTGTCTCATTTAAATGGCAGCTCGATGAACAGCTTTTTCTCATGACCTCCCAGGTTGGCAGTTAGGGTGAGGGTGGTTCTTTACTTAGTAAAACAGACTCTCTGTAACCCAAAGCCAAAGCCCCGCTGCCTTGCGGTCAGGTTTTTGAACCGATGTTCAACCCTCCTGTATGGTTGTGAAATCTGGTCCATCAGGTCGACAGACATAAAGGGGCTAGTCACGTTGGATCATCGCTGTCTACACAGCTTAGCTCAGGTCTGGTGGAAGCACCGCATGAGCAATGAATGTGTTCGGCGTCGCGTAATTCGTGCAGGAAGAGCGAGTGAACCGCTCTGCACCAGTAGATCACGCACCAGGCTCCGATGGCTGGGCCACGCGTTGCGCATGCCAGAACACCGACTCCCGCGACGTGCATAGTTTGCGCGCCGGGGTTGCGGTTGTAAGAGAAGTGAAGGCCAAGCGATGACTTAGTCGAGAAATGAAAACCCTCACTTCGAAGCTGACGTCGGTGAGTGCCTGGCTGGGGTCCTAAGGACGATGAATACCTTTGGTTTGACATACTTGATGATATGGCGAAGAGCCGGCCCCAAAGGCGTTTATGTTGTAAGTTCCTTAATCCATCTCTCGCCAACCACGATTTCATTGCTGAAACATAATGTAACATTTTTGCAGCACCACAGCCGGCCGCTAGCTCTCCGAAACGATGTCCATCCGGTACTGGTGGCTCAGCTGGTGTGCCTGTGTTGAGGTTCTTGATTGTTTTTCCACTTATGTATTGCGGCACAATAGCTTAGATGTTCCCACCTCTAGCTAATGTTGAGATGCGGTCGTGAATGCCTCAGCCAAACCGGTCCGGTAAGCCATCAATCTGATCACGAGGAGCCAAAATCCAAGAGACGATGAGTAAGTTGAATGGATAAGTATGAGCGTATGGTAAGTACGATGCTTCCGGTTCCATTTACTAACCCAGGGCAATAATGCGGTTGATGTGGCAGGTACGTTACAGCAATAAGGATGTTGGTCTGTATGCGTTTTAGTTTCTTGCATTTCAGGTGTCAGCTTATTGACATCCTTAGTTGAGACTGATGCGAATATTGGCAAGGCGTATACCTATCAAAAACCGCCATCTCGATAACTGGCACCAGGAAACAGGATCTTTGCTGGGGAATACGGGATGCATAGTCTTCGTGAAGTGGTAAAGTTCAGTGGTTCTATCTCGGGTGGGATGGGCTGGGACCCAGCCAACCCCTTTTAAACATCTGGTACGCATGAGTACCCGAGTAAACAGGAATGCTGGTGGGCATATTAAGTCACGGAAAGACTATTCGATAGCATACCAATGTCTAAGTGTGTATATGAGGTGCGATAAAGCGTAATGTATCGGGATTGCCAGAATGTGTGACTGTACAGCAGATAAGCGAGAATAATAGATCGATGAGGACAAAGTCTTGGTATTAATGTACACTCCCGAGTATGCAACACCACACACACAACAAGGAAAGGGGAGCCGCACGCTCCTCACGCACCAGCCGGGTTAGTATTTGTGCCACAACAGTGAACAACAGATTGTTAAATAAAGAGGCGATATGCGTTAAGCGTTAGGCTACGATAAGGGAATACAAAGGAAATGTCAACCGTACCAAGACATCGGCATTCAAATCCTTGAATTCATCCGGATATGGTAGGAGGCTGTCTGGAACGGCAGAATCGGTGTCAACTGAATTGAAAGGGACCGCCGCAGACTCTGTGGTGGTAGTAGTGGTGGTGCTTGGGAAAAGCTCTGAGACGGTGATGTGAAGTGAAAGAAAAAATAAGATCAAACAAACGTATAAACGAGATATGATGCTACGAAAACAATTAGATCAACTGATACAGGCTGGAGTGTGGGAGTGGCGGTCTCAAACATGTGAAAGGTAAGCAAGGGTGACGTAAACTCAATACATGGGGAACGTAGTGTACTCAAATAAAGAAGAGTTTGTGTGCCGAAATAGGTACACCTAGTAACTTCAAAACAGAGAAACAACAGCGATCGAAGCTCAGACGTAATGCTCGATGGTGTGTTTCACCCACCAGAAGAAAAGATCACAGTAGCCTCGACAAGCAGCAGTAGTTTGTGTATAAGCGCGGTGGAAAGTGAGGCGAAAACTGAAAAGCGAGAATAAGTAGGCCAGCTAGAACCGGACCGAAAGCAAACGATGTAAGGAATTGAAAGACAATAAATGCAGCAAAACAATATGATGGGCACGATAGACATCTCGGATACGTTAGTCTGGAGTTGGCACATCCAGACGCAGGTGCCCAGCAGTACAGACAGGAGTTCCAGCTGGTTCTACATGCAGTAGTAGGATACTGATGTTTGGTCATTGCGTGCTCAAAACAGCATAGTCCGCTTAAGGTAAAGCTAATCCAGCACAATGCAGTCGAGTGAGTTATCAGTTAGCGGCCCATGGACCGAAATGTCACTCTCTCAGGAGCGTCATCGAACGAGAACGATGCTTTACCCGCGTCCGTGACCAAAGCATAGTAGGTTTTTAGCGTGTCCCCTGGGTATCAAGCACATCACCCAGAACAGAACAGAGAGCTGATGACAGTGCACCGTGGTTTAACTGCGCTTTGATAAATGGACTGAAGTACAACTGCTTCCGTGGCTTCAATAATGTAACGTAGAAAGTGAAAAAAAACTTCTCAGTAAGCTAGCCGCCTACGGCGAGTTTTTTAGTAATGTACATCACCCGATGCATTAGTTAAAACAGTTTTTGGTTTAACGCAAAGACCGGCGATATCCAGATATAACCTTGAAGATGCACCTGAAATATCAAAGGGAATGAAGTAAGTAATAGTGTTGAGCGCTGAGTTAATAAACAATCCCGATGGAGGAATTAACACCGATTCAAAGACATCTATAGCATCGGCAACCAATGGAAGAGGAGTCGCAGCAAGAAAAGCGGTAAAATTAGAAATTCAGCGGACCTCGTTCCACGGATAAACTCTCACAACCCCATGGCAAACTAATGAAATGATTCAAAACAAAGGTGATAGCAAGAGCGTGAAAATTACGGGTTCAAGTCGGGATGTATAAAAATCAAAAACGAGTAGGAGAGGTTATCACGGCGCGAAAGGTGCCTAACTGGTGCATATAAATTTTTGCGCAAACACAATCGTATTTTTAGTGAATAGGGCGAAATAAACTAACCTGTAAAAGAGTCAAACAGGGATGTCATCAAATTTTTCACCACTTTCGCCGCTGCGCGTGACGGGTTCACAATATCCGCATCGGTTGCACCACTGGCCAGACGCTGTTGTCTGTGGATGCGCCATTCATAATGCAAAAGGTGGGCAAGGCAAGCGGAAGCCATCGCCTGAAACTGTGGGACGCTACTCGGAGGAGTTAAGGTAGATAGTGGGTCTCCAGAGGAATTGAATCTGGTGATCGCGGGTGCATCGGTGACGGATGCCGAGATGGGTTGAATACAACGGATAGTGTCCATAAGCGGTCGGATGAGAAGACTCAACCGACCTTGAAGAAACCAGTCGAGGTTTACAAATGCACTGGCGATGCAGAACTCCACCCTGTGCAAAACAAACGCTAAGGCTAGGGAAACGGGACAACATTTTCGTAGCAAACCAATCATGCCCCACAATACAACTACGAAAGCTCGAGCTTAGGTTAGTTGAAAATCACACTGATAGTTAGAAAGGAAGGACCATTTCCGAACTGTTGTGAAGTACGATAAAAAGACATCGTTGTTATTGTGAGAAGGCGTAAGGCAAATACAGGGAAAACAAACAAACACGCACATGCATTGACAAAAAAACGAAGTGATTTCACAAGCATAAACATTTGATATACAGCTTGGTTTGCAGCGATAACAAACGTCCGGATCCGTTGTGCCCTAGTAGGTAAAACCTGTTCTGTACCACATATGAATTCAGCACAAAAGATCACAAGCTGAGAGTCAAGATCTATGTCTGATCACTGGTGCGGTGAATTACTGAGAACTGAATATGATGAATACAGAATGACGGCTAATTCTTAGACACAGTCACTATGTCGTCATTGCATTGAGAGAAGAGAAGCCTGATTCCAATTCGCGTCAAAAATGTCGATGTTCGTATCTCAAGTGTGGTTTAGCAACAAAATGCCTTTTCGACCGAAATGCAGTACAAAAGTTTGCGAGAGAAAGCTTTATAAATGATTGGATGATCGAAAACGAGGGCAGTCTGCGAGCTAGGACACAAAATCAACATGTCATACTCGAGCAATACTGAGACCTGAGCCCCTGGTCACAGCAGCAGTTTCAGCAGGTCAAGTGATAGTCCACATAACAGTGTAACAGGAAAGACAATCGAGTCCGAAAAAAGCTGTTGGAAAGACACACAGCCCCAGTGGATGATAAGAATGAAAACAAAAATGAAAAGTTACAAACACTAAGTCAAATAGTCGTAGAAACAATTCCTATTGTGGATTGCTAGAAAGATATGGTGACAAATAGCAGAGAAGAGAAAATCGATCACCCCGTTCAACGAGATTTATTTAAAGAGGAAATAGCGCATATATAAAGGTGTATTAATTGTTGGAGGCTCGAGCGAATGAAATTGACGGGAGACAAGCGGACAGAAGGCCAATGAAACGTTGCCCCAGCGAACTGACCGCAAACGAACGGGTCAAAGAGACCCAATCCATTCGGCCCAACAGGAGCAAAGAGTAGTGAAGGTGAAGAGGGGATCGAACACGACTAACCAGCGAACACCACACGCGTGCCAACAACACATTGACGGGACGCGTGCAATGGTAGCTCGTCAACTGAGCGAACTAGTTGACGCCAAGTTAGCGAACAGAATGAAAAGCAAATGCTGTTCAAACGAGCTGACCACATCTTGCGGTACATAGGGACAACGGATAATTGATGTGGCTTTACACGAACCAAGTTCAACGTCATCAACAGCATTACATCAGCAATTTTAACTGATGCTTGCTACTATACAATCGCAACGACCTACGGAACAAACAACACTAAGAGTTAGAGCAGGGGGCTTACCGGAAAACTTTAATGCCATAAGTAAACATTCAGGGTCAAGACGCCTATATCATGTGTTAACAACATGCAACCACAAACAACCGGCTACCGTATAATGATAATGCAACATCGGCGAGACAGCTTCCTTGCGGCTTTCACTGCCACGCGTCATAATCAGCCATTACCCCGCAGATAACTCAGCACCAAACACACTCTAAACAGGCAGTCCGACTAGGAGACGGCAGCAGATACGCCACTGGTGTCGACTGTGAGCCATGTCCTGTAAAGTCTCGAACAAAGCACAAGGCGAATCAGGCGGACTCCAGCCTGGAAAGCGAGACGGACAGACGGCACCGAGTTTGGTCGTCAGTAACTTCATTCCCGATGATAAGTCAACTTCTGTCCACCTCGAGCCTCGCGACACCCTAAATCGGGCAAACAAAACAAGACCGTCCTAGGTAAGCGGTAATCAGGCATACGTAGTGGGTACGGGTCAAGGGGTCATTAAGTGCCTGACAGTCCTGAAACAAGACTTTGCACTTGGAAAGTGCGAAGCTTATACCAAATAATGGGACCACATTTAAGAGGTTATTCAGGGTTGATACCGCAACCCCAACATAGTTAAAAAGCAAGACGATTTCGTTCGCATAAGAAAGATCAAGTATCATCTCACCAGGCAGCACCACAACATCTACATTGTGAAACTCCGCAAGGGAACACTCCATGACGGAGTCCAAGATGAGGTTAAAAAATGGGGAAACTAAGCAACTCCGACGAAGGACACTTGTTGGAAAGCTATCCGACAGGACACCGTAGACCCTGACGCGGCCTGGTGTGTTTGAGAATAGAGCACGTGGAATGTTCACATATTTCGTGGGAACACCTTTCCGCGCAATTAGTTCGAACAGAATGCATCGATCGACTGAATCGGACGCACTCTTGAAGTCTAGCAATACAGCTATTGTCGGTCTGCGATATGCATGGCGCTGCTCTAGCCCCTGCCGCAAAGTGATTATATGGTCTATACAGCCACGTCCTGGACGGAAACCTGCATGCTCTTCCCTAATGCGAGATTCTCGTTCCACAGTGAAGCGACGAACGAGAATCGAGGCCAGTAATTTTGTCACAACTGACGTTAGGCTGATACCCCCCGTAATTAGCACACTCCGTGCGACTGCTTGTTTTGCACACTGCCACTATAATCGATGCACTCCAGTTGGCCGGGACCGTCTCATCCTTTATACATGTTCGAACATGGAAGTCAGAGCTCTGCATAGGACGTCACCTGCATCCTAAAATAGCGCAGATTTGAGAGAATCCGGGACAGCAGCACAAAAACGATTGAGGGCTGTTATCGTGTTTCGGACCTCCGCCTCCGAAGGAGCCTCCAAACTAACCGTCCATGGCTCATCTTGCAACACCTGAGTAGGAAGAGGTCCAGAACAAGAGGTCTACTGAGCTGATCTTGGAAGTACTTCGCCCAATGAGCCATACGGCGCTCGTTATTGTGTAGCAGTGCACACGCGCTGCTTCTGATTGTCTCACTGACGCATGGTTTTCTGGGACCAGTGGTGCGGATCAGCTGGATGACCTTGTGGCAATTGGTCACTGCTCCCGCGACTGGTCCACCAGGCTTACATGTGAGCGCGCAGACCCGCTTTAGTCCGCGCCTAACAGTCCGTCTGGTCATTGTGCACAGAGCCAACCGGGAGTTTCCTTCTGTATTCCAACAGGTTCACCGATCTCTCGGATATCCAATGGCTGGTGCGGTGACAACTGATAGTGCCGCAAGCGAAGGCTCCTGCATGTTGCATGGCGGTCGAGATCCTATTCCACTTAAGCTAATGTCATTGGTACAAGATAGCGAAAGTTCGGCACGCAGTGCGTCTAGATAGGTTTGCCTGACCGATCGGGGGAGATGCTCGGTGCACCTCCCAGTAAAGTTCAAGGAAAATCGAAGGCTTACCAAGCTAGGGTCAGAAGTGACGCAAGAACTCAAAAAAGAGCAGAAATACAGGATGGAAGCATGCCACCTGTAGCTTATGGCAATATGATCTATTTTGGTCCATCGCTAGCCAGCTACAGAAGGATGCCAAGTTGCAGTTCGGCACCTACTGTGTCAAAAAGCGGCGCCACTAATACATAACCGGTACTCTGCACAACGTTGCAACAGACGCTAGTCGCTGTCCGTACGTCGGGGTTAATCCCACATGCTTACCACCTGGCTGAGCTTCTGAAGATCCCATGTAACCTACGTGTGCATTCATATCCCCTGCAAGTACTATTATATATGAACCTGTTCAGTTCGTGGCAGAAGGCGTCCTTCGCAGCATCAGAACTGCAGCCGGTGGAAGCATAAGCGGAAATCACAAACAAACAGCGTCTTGTATGACTTCGTGAAACAATCTTAGTTGATGTCCTCGAACGGACTACACACGAACGGATGTTCACGGGAATACAATCAATAAACAAATACTCAGCCTGGGAAATGAGAATGTTGCTTACTCCAGCTTGATCAGCGATTGCCGCAGCAGCATCTCCGGATGCGTGTAAACAATAAAAGTAAAAAAAGTAAATCATCAGCTGTACGCCGTAAAGGCGCGTGGGCTGAGTATACCGCAAGGGTGCCCGCCCCTACGCGGATCGTGTAAGCAATGGCAAGAGAACAAGTCGGGAGCATTTAATGCATTGATCCTAGTTTCGGATACGCAACACACGTCACTACCCAGTGAGACCAACGTGCGTGCCAGTGAAACCTTAGAGTGCGAACGTCGAAGACCGCAAGAGAAACGGGACAGCGTGGCCTTATAAGGGACTGTTGCAGATATAAGTCCAGTGGGTGGTGCGGGAAGGTAGCTGCGGATGGTTCGAGTTCAATCGCATTACAGATGTTGTTGATTAAGTTGGGGATTATAGAACGGAGGGTAATGATGGGGGGTTGGGCATGGAGCGAAAGAAACATGTGGAAAAGAATGGAGAAGACAGCAGTAGCACGTTTTCGCTTACCCACCCTGCTGTTTGCAGTAGATAAGGCGATCCTTGATAACCTGCGCGACGGCTGATGCAGGATATAGTTGAGGTTTGAAAAAATATAGTTGTGGGTGGGCTGAGCGTCCAGACCTAGAGACGGGTGAACAATTAGGGTCCTCAACCAAAGCCTTTGGTACAAAAGCCCGTCCGCAAGGCAGCGGGGAGTTAGCATCGATTTAATTTTACAGAAATGGACGCCATCCGATTTTAAGTCCCAGTCTGGGAGACCAGAAGACTGAGTTTGTTTGATCTCTAACCATTGACCAAGTATAAGTAGCTCTCAAGGGGCCCGGAGGTACCACGCAGTACACCACAATGGATCGACGAGGTACGCAAACCGTCGCACCATGCTACGGTGCAGTCTCATTGCGACGGAAGCTCAACATGGTCCCAAACAAAACTAGTGTGAGTCGATCACAGGGGGCGAACGGTGCGGGTGAGTTGTGATAGTGACTGAGACCGGGGGGGACCAATCAGAAGAAAACCGAGCACGCACGACTGGTTCGGCCTAAAGCAATGGAGAAACAGCATGCCTTCGGACAGCAGAAAAGCGGATTGGTCGGCAGTACGGCGAGTAGATGTCATACGCTTGAGTCCATGTTAGAAACACGCTAAACTGTGGCAAAGAGCCAATCATGGGGATATCAACTAAATAGACGGATGATCAATCAGACGATCCCGCGTAGTCGAGCCGGGATGACAGCAGCGAGGCCAACGTAACCATGCGCTAGATAAGCGTGGATAGGTCCGTCTGGAGAACGAGCACGAGACAATGGGATGTAGATAACATCACAGACCAGTTATCAAGGGCCAACCAGAGAATGGACAACAGCAAAATATTGTATGTATGCTACAAATGATTTCCTCCATAATAATTTGTTATCGCCATTCAAACTTCCTTCTTGATTCCCAGAGGGCAACTGAACATGAGGTGCTAAACGAGAGCAGACGATATGGGAAGCAACAACAGATAGTGCACAGCGGAAGGCAACCACAAGGAAATAGCACCTCGAATACATGTATGATACAAATGATGCCATGGTACATGAACAACAGATTTTGATGACAGCTCGTATTTCGTTTTGAAACTAAGATGGCCACATAGCACTTTGCAGGCAAACACGGTGTTGACAGCTTCGTGTGATAACAAAAACGACCATAAAATGCGCAGACAAACCGTAAAGCGAATAACCACAGAAATCGCCGGAGTTTCTAGTCAGAAGATAATAGCAACCAGTCAGAAGAAGAGCAAAGTAAATCGCTGTAACGTCGTGCAGTGCCGAAAAGAATCAAGATTACTTGTAGAAGTAGAGTGCGACAGTGAACAGAATAGAGTGTGCACAAAACACAAGAAAACATACGGTAGACAACATAGGGCTGTATAGTGGTTGGAGGCTAAAAGCATGGCTCAGAACCAGAGGGGGCCGGTTAGAGAAGTGCAAGAACACCTACCACGATCCCCACTGAAGTTGCAAATCCAAGCATCGATTCACAGTAGCGCGAGTTCGGTCTAGTGCGATATGGAGCATGTCTAACTGATCAGAAGCAATTCCAAAAGACTGCGATGAGGAAGGCGACGACGGTGAATTGATCAATTGCGCCGCGCGAGTCAGCAGATTGGAGCATTGGGCGATGGTCCGGACGCCGCTAAAATATGAGCAACGAGAGTAGCTTGTAAGACACTGAGCAGAGCTGCGTGGAGGAGATGCGAACATTGGGTCAGTTGTGATACATACGTGAACTCAAAGATTGGCTCAGATGGATAACCGGCAGCGGACAGCGAACGGACAAGGCGTCGGCATTCCTCTTGCATTAGTTTGAATGGCCCTTGTGTAGACGAAAACGGGAAAAAAACTAAATGTTAAAGGTGAGGTTCGTGCAGAAGTGCAAAGCCACAAATACAAGTGACCATACAGTGAGCAAGCACGCAAAAGGCCTGAAGACTTTTATTGCTAAACCAACGTCGACAGAACTGTGGACTATGCAACCCAGGTAATCAAAGAGAACCTCAATCCATTGTCGTTATGATCAAGCAAGAAAGAGGCGAACAATCACACAATGGATATCCAAATAAATGCATTGGACACTTGACCACCTTAAGCGACAAGGAAGTATGATGGGGGAAGCAAGGGATAAAGTTGTCGGTTACGCAACAGGAATGTGGTAGGCGAAGCGTCTTCACAAACTTCCAGTCACTGGGGAAGCTAAATGTTGAGCTTGAAAACTCGTGACAAGCACTTATTTGGGAGAGGTGACTCGTCGCCTGATTAACTGAAACGGCATGTGACACTTTAACGAGCGCATCTCACGACGTTGAGAAAGCAATCCCGGCCATACTGAAAGGCAGAAATCCGAAATTCGCAACGTCTTTTGATGTAGTTTCGATGTGTGTGTGTGAGAGAGAGAGAGAGAACAGGTAAAAGCGATACGGTATATCGAACGCACGATCACAGGTGGAATAGCTTACCGAGGATCTCCTCGTAGTATACGACCTCAGTGAGACATGCCTCCAGTTTCGCTTTAAGCGAGGGACACAAAACAGCCAGTTCCGCGTCAATTAAGCACTCGGTTTCCAACTGCTTATTCGCACTCGGCTTAGCTATCCGCTGAGCCCATGTTTCCGGTGGAGCGTTTTGTAAAGGAGTGAATTCATGCTGGCATGGTAGTATAGCCCAAGCGGCAATAATGAGGCCACCGATTGATCGCTGCATAGCCAAGCGCTCGTGCAGATGAAGCCGGTAGAGAAGATGGTTCAAAAAGTAGCATAAAACACTCGGCTGTGGTGGATCAGACGCTGGTCCGGACTCAGAGGGCTGGGACATGAATTCTGGTTGCACGGGTTTGTGTCCCTCCGGGTAATAGCAACACAAACGAGCAAACAATCTAGCTAAAATGCTACAATGGAAAGGTGTATGAAATCAGAAATTGGGCGAGATCATACGTGTCGAAAGCAATGGAAAAAGCGCATGGATAAGTCAGCCAGTGAGATGTGTGGTAAAATCGAGGAAGGAGGTGAATATGGTTAGCGACACTGGCAACAAGATTGACTGCAACTGTATATTATTGCAAGAAATTACCGGAACAAAGGAAATCTAGCTGCAAATAAACACTTAGAAAACAGTACGGGAGCAGACAACCGTAAAGGAGCCGTATCATCGGAGAGACAACTAGATTGGCTCACCCGCAAGACCAGAGTGCGGACATTCGCGAGGCATCATGTTGTCAGTCAACGGCATAAATGCAATGACCTGACGTAGGGCCTCTGTGTGATCAAGTGAACAGATGAAGCGAATCAAACCCCCAAGCTGCATTGCAGTAATTGGGTAACGGTCTACTGGAAAAGGCAGATGGAATGGGAGTTCAAAGGCAGCTGCTAGGAATATATCAGCAGCACGCAGTTCAGTTGCTCGCGAGATGTAGTAATCGCCAGGATGAAAAACCGAGAATATACGTCAAAGGAAAAGCTAGTGAATATGTTGCAATATTCAATGTATTCACGTATCGAACACAAGGTAGACAACAAGATGGGGGCCAACCTGCACAAACCGTAGAACCAAGATGGTTACGCTAGGGACACGTGACTCTCGACGTGAAATTGTTAGCCAAAACAGTAGACAAGTAGCATCAGGGAAAAACACAAAGCGGTACGTAATTAAATGGGGTCTTGAACAAGCTCAAATGTGAAGTGTGGAACTAATACCAGTGATGTATGAAGTCTGTGGAGGCGTGTCCAAAAGGAGCAAAGCAAGCTGTAAGCGCGGAAGGCATTGGAAGCAAAACAAGAGCCATATCTCATGTTCATCTAAAATATTGGAGGGGTATGAGTTCAGGGAGATTTGGAAACAATCGGTTAGTTGTTTGGGTAACTCACCGAATCGCACAGATCCTAGTCTGCCAGACGTAAATCTCGTCATGTGTGGGCTGGTCGCTCGAGTAAGACAAGCCTCCGATGCAGTGTGCAACATTCGAATCCGCTGCGGCTGGTGGATTGGTGGAGATTATGGCATCCTGGGAGTTTGATAGGTTCTGAAAGCAAGAGGAGAGAGGGTATTGCTCGAAAGAACATGATGCAACATGAACACAATGCTGAGTTTTTGGAATGCTCATCGTGTACTTGGAGTGCGACACAATCTCTGGAGATGTCCGTTTACATTGAGTTTGGGTCGGGATAAAGGACGAAAAAAGAAATGTGTACTTTAGGTGAGAATTCAGAAAGGAGCAGAAGTTGAAACAGACAATAAACAGCCAGATTTGGTGCGGCGCGTGAGTAAATCTAGAGTACCCGTTACTGAAGTTAACGCTATCCGAATGAATCAGGCGAGACACTGGAGTGAAACAAAAGAGTATGTTCACATGAACGCTTCCAAGCACTAAACAATGAGAAATGGGACGTTGGTGACTGTCAACAGTACTGTGAAAGGTTGATGTCGTTGCTGCTCGAACGTCTCATATGGAGATAGTCTGTGCGAGATTTGTACCAGTGGATTCGCAGACAGTGAACTGACAAGGTGAAAACAAAAGCTATCAAGCTCCGTAAGCAATGGGTGAAAAATCAAACATTAATTGACCGCCTCGGCTTAGGTCAACATGTTCATGTGTGCGTTGCAATTCATAATCCCAACATGGAAGCAAGAGGACGTTAAAAGCCGGTAACCACATCACAATCAAATCACTTGAAACTCCAAGCACCGGTGTCAACATCAACTGAGAAGCAAGTTGACACGACGCTTTCAGGATTTACTATAAACACGGTTTTCTCATTCGGTTTGGATAGAGTGCCGGCAAAGCGCAAACTCATGAATAGGAGAAGCTACCAAACTTAACGATATAATTGCGTGGACTTTTTCCTCAGTAAATAGAAGCACGGAAATCATGTCCCATTCACATTTCGTGCAATCAACGAACGTTCAACATTAAGGATTATATATTAACGAGGATTATAGAGTATGAAGAACCTTGGCTCGGATTAAGAGATAGTGCAGCTCGAAGTGTTCAGAGGCATAGGAATAAAGCATTAATACAAGCACGACTGCTAAGTTACTCAGATAGCGTCATAAATACATCCAAAAAGCACTGCCACTAGTTTCGGGCTTACAAGAACCGAATGTTCCAATTTATGTTAGAGAAATCCGACGGTAAAACGCGAGCAGAGATGCTTTAAACCCCATTAAGCGTGAAGAAACCCTAACCGAGAAATGTCACATGTGCACATGCCGGTCGGGTGAAAAGATGTCGGTCCCATAATTGATAAAACGCACGAACCGGTACAGAACTAGCAGAGACCTAAGCGTATGGGTGAAAGAGGAATGGGTAGCGGGTGTTACGGGAAAACGATCAAGATTGAACGTGAAACCAGTAGGTGAATATCAAAGAAATCGGACCGCCTCTTCGACGGACTTAACAAGCCAATTAGGTGTGATTTCGTAACATAAGTGTAGAGTACCAATGGAGTTGGTATAAGGTGGTCGCGAAGATCGAAATAAAAGATCATGTAGATCAACAGCAAGTGCTCCAAGCAATCTGTGGTCGAAAACAATCTAATGGTTGTCGTACTCTTAAGATAGCAATAGTAAACAACATTCAGCAGGATGGCTTTAATACAGCTTATTGCGTGTGTACTCAAACAACCAATTACATACATATGGTGTTGGGACAAAAAGTGCCATTGACAAGTGATCAATGCGGTTAACCAATTGGAGTTGGTAGCGATCGATGCCAGCGTCCAATGACAGAATCTATGGTTTACCAAAGTAAGGCAAGGCTGGCCACGGGGTCGATCTTTTGGCATAGGCTGTTATTCAGTTGCGGGATGGTGGAAGCTTCGGTGAACCGAATGAGGCTTGGAGCATTTTGCTTATTGATAAGATTGGACGATGCACGGGGGATTTTGCAAGGTGCAATCGAGCAGGCCCCGAGTGATCAGACTGGCAGTTAACTTAGGACCGCTTAACAGCAAGTCCACGGAATGTACCCCATAATCCTAGTCAACAGCCTTCGCTCAGCAAGGCCAATGCGTGCGACCATAAGCAAGCTTAAGCTATGAGGCAGTAATATGACAGAAAGGTCTAGCTAAATTGGATTCATGCGGTAAGCTTTTGGTCTGGCGCAGCAGCATTAGCTTGGGTGCGCAATAGCACTTCTCTATGAAGAGATGTAGTCGGTGAAGGAAAAATTGATCATATTGTTCCCTTCTGAATGGGAATGCGATGAACACCCATTTTTGCTATTTCAAATATCTTGAAGGAAACAAGTTGTACGAGAATATTACAGCCGGTTGAGACAAGGAACGGAAACGTATTTATTGCATAGGCAGAGCCCATCATATCACTATTATAATCACCTTTAAAAGGTGACCAGATGTGTACATAAAAGCGTGATTGCAGACCGTTATCCACACTTTGAAATGCAATAATTGGGTCTGAAATAAAGTGTAGGGCTACTGGCCACATTACCATGAACGTCAAAGAAGCAAAGAGCGTTACACTCCAGTGGTTCACTAATTCTCCAGTCGAAACAGGCAAAACAGCACTAGCCGGCGTTCGTTTGGGGATGAATTGTCGGTAAGCGGAAAAATGGATAGGTGTTAAAGCAATTTCGTGCTTGAGAACTGCATACTAATACCAACGCCGCAGATTCGACCGATTCAGACTAGACGCAGTGTTATCTATTGCAACTTGGGCAGTCGCGTCAAATTTAACTGGTAAGCAGACGAGTTGGCTGTCGTGTTCATCGATGAAGTCAGTGGGGCTTTCAAACCCTCGATCAGTTATGTAGACAGCCGTGTATCAGCTTAGCAGTACATTTGTTGCTCATCAAAACACGCTGCACCTGGTTGGATGAAGATCCCAATGGCAAGTCCACACCAAAAAAGAAAACGGTGGAAAGATTTGATCGATATAGTTGGTATCGTGATCACGGATAGAGACAGTCACATTAGCGCAATCCGCGATTAGAGACCACATGTTAGCTACGACAAGGATGTAACGTGAATTGAAACCTTACCACTAGTCACTCGCTTTCGATGGTAACTGCTAAATTAGGTAATAGCTTTTTTGATCATTTCCCGATTTGTCTTCGCTACTTTGCTTCAGCATGTTTCTCTTCAACAAGGTTAAATTTCTCTTATTGTGGAAAAATAGGGTGGCCAGACTTAGTGAAAGCCCACATATAGTCCGGAGGAGCAATGAACAGCTGTCCCATCGTACTGAGAATCGCCAGTAACGTGCATATTCCACTGGATTCGAACCCTTCAGCTTCATGCTACGAGTCAATATGACGGGTTCGGATAGAGCGTGGTTGCGACGAACCCTAGAATCTTGATTAATTTGACAGAACAAAATATGGTAACTGGAGTCATAGTAGTATGATAATCGCATCATTTGACTAATTTAATACAAAAGTTCGACACAGGCGAGTAAAGTCTTTATTTCTCGCCAAAACGTTCGCGTCTATGCCTAGAAGAGATGTGACAGCATGGCTACGATCATAGCTGCAAAGTTGTTGGAAGCTGGCTTCATTCAGGTTCGCTCCTGACCGCGTAATCATCAGAGGGATGACGGGCGCGGAAAACTACGCTGAAGGTGGCGTAATGTGGCAAACTGCATTCGCTTGATGCACATTACCGTTTCAGCTGGCATGGAAGATGAGGAATTAATGGCTTCATGAACATAGATCTGCGACATGCTGGTGACGCCGCCGTGTTTTCCAGGAGCCCGCTACCTGCAGACCACTGATGAACTTGAGTGGGGGGCTAGGAACAAACACATTGGTGAAGATTCGAAAGAATTCCTGTGCCGCGATGCGCATCGAGCACAAACATGAATAAGAATCACAACGATAAAGGTAAAAACAGAGGTTCCATTCGATAACTCTATGGTGGGGCACAAGTTGATCAAGAAAAAGGTCGTGTGAGAAGCAATACGCAAGATGATACAAACATTTTGCAAATATGCGTGAGGAGCATCCGTAATGGACGTTGTGCGAATTAGACAAGCAAAAATGGGTCAGAAGAAAGGCATCAGCAGTACACCGGTACGCAGTACCAACGCTTCGCTACCGCGCAACCACCACCGGTCGAACGTGGGCTAAGGATACTGCGAGGGCCGCTCTGTCCCTACGCAAGCTAGAACCCGCGCTGTCAGCTTACGAGACAAGCTCGTTACCGTTAGGCTACGGGCCGACAAAAATGAGTAAGAGAACTGTTGCAGTTAGAACCGGTGAGGAACGCTGCGGTCATTCATCGATAAAATGGTAAACATCGAGAACACAGAAAAATCGTAAAGGTGGCACTCATATAGCGACGGAGGACATTGTTGTCAGCCTTATTATGCTCTAACTGTGATGAGGTATCGACCCGAAAGATGAGGTGTAGGTATAAGAGTGACCACGTGAAGAAGTCATCAAACGATTTCACACTGGTTAAAGATAGATCCGCTCCAACCCAAATATCATCCTAATGTAAGTGGGCTTCACTCACAGGCCTGCTTGCCCCACCGACATCACATGACCGACGCGAATGAAAGTAACAACTAAGTGTATAACGCGTCAAAAGAGAAACCACAGTATCCTCAATGTGACTCCAAATTGACGAAGCCCCAATCCTCTACGGTTGAAAGGCATTCGCCTCCAAGAGGTGTGCGCAAGAGATATATGAATTATCATGGTATGATGGCAAGTGTAACGGTGGACAGATGCGATGGGTGAAGGTGGAAAGGATATAAAAAGTGCTGAATGGCCAGTGGATGATTTCTGAGTCAGCAATGAAACTTTCAGCCTGGAAAGCGACATAAAAAGTGTACTCACCTTCGACGGGAGATCACTCGTGCTATGGACAGTATTTGGATGGGTTTGGTGAAGAACAGATGCAGGCAAGGTGGCAGAAAACAGATGTGGTGGGAAGGGTACATCCATCGGTTGCATGGACTGACATAGCCAAAAGTCTAAGCGTTCCACGGTGGCTTGGGCCAAAACAGACAGCGGAACAGACTGGACGATTTGAATGCAGTACTGGAAAATAAAAGAGCATAGTGCATGAGGGTGACTGATAGTGCAGTAGATTATCATGAATACGTTATAAAAACGATTTTTCATAGGAAGCTTGTGTACGCCACAAAAGCATGAATCCGGATGCATTACAGGTGAGCCAAGTAGCTGAATGACGAGACAAGTTGAATGACTTGCATAATCATATCGGCAAGTTAAACAGGCATCTCGCTCCGGTACAACCGTACTAATCCAATTGAAATGGTAGAGAATAAACTGGGGATATGAGGGACGCGGTGTAAAACCTAAGTGCCCTGAGCAAACATTCAGGAGCAAGGCACCAACGTCGTTTGTCGACAACACACGAGCAAAAATCGTGAGAACCTAAAGCGCCACCTGCTAGACAACTTCCTTGTTGTTTCGCCACCACAAACCCAACTGAAACTGGCAAACTGGCTACGAAACGACAGAATGTATGAGCCATGTGTTCAGCAGTCTCCAGACAAGCACAATATGTGTCCCGTGAACTCCACCGTGCAAGGCGAGATGGGCCAACAACACTCAGTCAAGTAGTCAGCGACTTCAATTCTCACTGTTAAGTGAACTTTGCCAACCTCCACGTGTGCGTCATCCTACGTCGGGTAAACGAAAAAGCCCTCCTCGGTAGGCGGTTATCTGGCTATAAATAGCACGTTCCCAAATCAACTCCACTTATTCAATGTTAGCTTATGCTCTAAGGTCGGACCATCATCATTGTAGCGGGCATATTGGTGTTATCAGATAACAACAATGCTACGCAAACAATGATAACCAAAGACTTGAAGGCGTCTCAGATGCTCAGATCAAAGAGGTCAAGTCGCATTCGCATAAAACAGGAGCAACTTAACTGTGGCCCTGTTCACACAGTATTTGGGGCTGAGAAAATCTCCATATGACACCACAGATTCCACAAGTACAAGAAAGCGGTCGATATTCCGCAGTACATGAAGTAATCTGAGGTAAGGTACTAACATCTGCTGACGATAAAATGCACAACGGTCACTAGACAAGATCGTGATTGACTAAATCTCACTTCAAGGCGAGAAACCACGCTTAGTGAAATAGGTTTGTAGCGTAAAATGAAGGAACGAAGTAGGAAATGAGCCGTGATAAATGTCTAAATCGATAAATGAAAAGAAGGATAAAGAGCTATCACTCGCAGAGCGCTAGGTGGCGGGCAAGGCCAAAGTAAGCTAAACCGACTTGGTCGACGTTAGGCAAAAGCTGAAAAGAGTGAGCACATTCGAGTGTTTTGAAAGTCGAACAAGGCATGACGAAGATAAGTCAGTTATCTTAGCTGCTCCTGTGGTAACGGGCTGCAACAAGGAGACGTGGACCACAGACACACAAAATGTAATGCATTGGATATGCGCTGGACCAGTGCAAGCAGTACGTGTAGATAAATAGCGAGAAAAGAACCTTGGCCATTGTATGAATATGCAATAACATGCAGCTTTTGTACAGAGCTAGTATGCGGAGAGAGATATCGAACGGACTTCGGGTACGATCAATATAACAATGCGGCTCAAAGGTTCACCTAATTATGACCGGTTCGTGCCGCCTTATCTTTGAACGATAGCCAGCTGTTTGTGACGGAATGTTGTCTACACAAGGTGTAGGCGCCTTGACCCTGAATGTTTGCTTAGGGCATTAAGGTTTTCAGGTAAGTCCCGCTTCTCTCCCTCTTCTTATTCTTTATTTCATAGGTCCTCATGGTTGTATGGCAGCGAAGCATCAGTCCAAATGGCTGATGTACTGCTGTTGATGATGATGATGATGACCGGTTCGTGCGTGATATTTTTTGTACACCTATCTTCACAATCCGATACTCCATCTACGTACGCAGCGTTGCGGCACAACGAGCTAGTTCCCATAATCGCTTGCGCAGCTCCTCGCATGCATCCTCAGTGTGCCAGCCAATCCCATGTTGTGAGAGCAGTTGTACACACAGTAGTTGGTTGCTACCTAGGTGAATTGTGTCATTCCTAATCATATACCTATATGGCACTCTTGAAACGTGCAGCGCTTAATTTCATCGATAACTGGTTCTGGTTTGATTTCTGTAATCTGTGTGTTGTGGTCAAGTGCGGGGTGGAAATTTATTGATTCCACTTTACTATAGTTTCTTCATGTGCAATAGCACTCAAGGTTGAGGCACAGTAGTGGTTCATCGTCAATATCTTCGCTTGACTCAAATGAGCGTGAGTTCACTGAGGATTATTAGATGATTGATTCGACTGGCTGTGGTTCAAAACAGCAAAAGTGCACAAGATGCGGAAGAAGAAAAACAAGGAAAACAATCATTGCATGCATGCATTTCAAAATGCACACGCAACTACCAGCAATCGTCTTCTTTCTGTGCTTTCAAAGTGCAGATGCGACTGAGTACATAGTACCCATTCAAGCTGGCTGTTTCCGATAATGTGGTTTTAAGTAGAAGAACTATTCACGGGTTTAGGGATTTAGTGAGATTTACTTGGTTTATCGCAATCAGATTACAAGCCAGATGAGACAACTGCCAATTCAGAAGAGCATCACGAGGTCGTTTCGTCCTCTTGGGAGTCGTCAGTGGTGTACATTCCCTTGATCCCTTACAATGAATCGAACGCACGGCCGCTAGTGGCTGGCAACATTAGCTAGCAGGTTATGCCGCCGAACCATGGAGAACGATAGCTGACCATCATGGATAGAAAGCTAACAGTAATTTAGCCCGATCTATCCTCAACGGCCATGCAGGTTACTGCCTGTGTAGAGGAATGGTTGGCCCTCAGGTGTCAGGACTTCTCTATCAGTAGCCGTTAGTCCACAAGGCGATGAGCTAAATATATCTCATGTGAAGAAATCAGTCGTGTGTTAGACGTGTCAAGAAAGCGATCCAGTTCCGGAACCAAATGGAAAAGAAACAAAAGCAGTATGCTGAAAAAGTACCTTGGTGGCCTCCGAGCGCAAGGATGAGTTGGACTCCAAAAGGACACGATGAAACAATTGATCGATAAGAAGTTGTAGTGGCGCCGGCGGTAAACTTTTTGACTGTGATAACATGTAGGAGAAAATAGCGGACGTTAGAAAATGCTTGTAATAGACAATGGTAAGGCAGAACAAAGGTAACCCAGTCGGACACAAGTAGAGTGGCACGCGGTTCCGATAAGTTTACGACATGGACGATTGTAATATGAAACCAGATAATCGCGAGAAAAATGCGCAACATCACACACGAAGGAATTCCCAATGCGCCCCTAATGTAGAGAGCAATGATCTTATCCGGTCAACGGTGTCAGCGCTCGTATCTACCAGCGTTGCTCAAGCTTTCTGTACGGTATATTAACATGGAGACTTGTCAAGGTGACTAGGTTTGCCGCAGTCAGTTGTTTGAATAAGCTGAAACAAGTGACAGGTCGTTTAGTCGCAATGCAATAGTCATTTTGAAAAACAGTGAAGTAGAGAGAATGTTGCGAACAATTGACGACCAGACATATCTTTTGACTTGAGTAACAGTAGCGACGCAGCCGCAAAGGAGTGCGGAGATAGATGTTCCTTATATCCTGAATGTGGGGCACCTTTGATGCAGCGTATAAACAGGTGACGAGTAAGTGGCTCAAACTGTCGCGACCAGTTGACACAAATATCTGTAGCCATCAAGTTTGTGCTGTGTCCGGTTGAATTGAACAAATGGACCGAAAAGATGAACCAGACAGTCAGGGGGAGGGAGGAATTGATGGAATAGGTCATTGGGCACATGAGGTATAGACGTCCGTCTACTCAGCACAACTGATTAGTTGACGTTCATCGTCATTCACACAGCTGAGTATAGGGAAAAACGTAGCCAGTCCAAAAACAGAAGTGGGCGAATAATATGCTTTGAAGTGTTATGCAGATCAAACGTGCTGCCACTGCCACCCATTTGACTTTGATGAGCAAGTACCTTGTCTCTGAGGAGCCGATTAAATTAGCAATGTTTTCGCGATAACCTTTAGATATACATATGCACACATCCCGATGCGGAGATTGTAAGAGGTGGAGCTGTGTGCTATTGGGCGACATCACGGGTTGCATTCGGGGAGGTCTTAACTGTGCACATGACAACAGACAAGTCAGCAGTAGCATCTTGGGTTATTCGGAAATGAAATACCACATGAAGAATGAAACTGATCGAGCGTTGAGCATGATTAAAGGCATGGGATCTTAAAAAGTGCAGATAAGGTGTCACAATTGTGCAAGCAGTGCAACTCTGCCGGGAAAGACACATGGTCGAATCGGCAAGCAGTGACTGAGAATTGCTTCCCGGCCGGTTTGGTTACTTTTCAAGAGCAAGCTTCAACAAACAAATGAGTGTCAAATCAGTGCAAGCTGCGACTGGTGCACGTGAGCTGCGCGACTAAGCTGAGGGAAACCAATATTACAGCTGGTGTTAGAGGTTAGGTTAGAGGGCGATCATTCACAACGATTGATAAGTAACCCATCACATGAACAACGGACTACTACTATAGCGTAGGGAGTGTATGTGCCGTTGGAGACGAAAAAGAAAAGGAATGACAGCGGTGCTTGTTTAAGTTAGGTTCGTGCACAAAGCCGGTGAGCACGGTAAAAAAACATATGATCAATCCAAATAGAAGGTAAAAACAGGCGTGCAACGTGTACGACAGAGCATCATAGGGAAACATGCGCGTTGGATGGCCAATACGAATATAAACTAGTTTGAGAGGTGTTGTTTTCAACATGCAATGCCGTAGTAAACTAGTCTACAAGCAAGCGCAAGTCCAGTACATACTTGCAGAGTCCATGTGTTGTAAAGGCACTGCAAAGTGGCCAATGCACGCTGTCGAATACCCAGTGAAGTGTGATGCAACAAGCGGGAGGCAATGAGTAGCTGAGCGGAGAACTCTTCGACGCTCCATGTGAGGTAAGGTGAATGCTCGGTCTGGGGGCTACAGTAGATAAGAAAGCAGCAAATGTGGTCAGGAAGGTGGCGACAGCAACCAGAAGATGATCACAGCTCACATAGTAAAACAATCAGTTGGAGTAGATTAGAGAGGATAGAAGTAGCAGGAGGATAACAAAGAAATGTGAGTTTGAACAGTGACGATAGCTATGGGTTTTGTGCTTTGCGTTCCAGCCCTGATCAGTGTACCCAAATAATGTGCGAATATCGGCCAAGCCGAAGTAGCCTGGGTGCGGGAACTGTGGTAAGAAGCGTTCACATACAACGGCTGGTGACCATAAAGCATTGCGAACATCACAAGAAGTAAGAGAAGTCACGAATTGACAAGATTAACGAAGGAAATAAATAAAAAGGTACAAGCGGTGTGTCAACATGTGATGCTAATGTTTAACTGCAGTACGGCTGTGGAAGCACTTGCGTTAGTGGGAATTAGAACTCAGGACGTCGAGACTGCATGAACCACAGATCTCATAGAAAGTGTCAGTCTGGCATTAACCGGTTCCGTTGGTACCTCACTGCTAAGCAGCCGCGCAAGCTGTTACACGTGAGTAAGAATTCTATCAGGACGCTCAAACCGAGATGGGAGCAGGTATATGAATCCGAATCGCAGTTTTCAAACCAAATGATTGAATCACGGGTTTCTAACGAACAAACATCGTGAGAGTCATAAGTTAATTAAGTGACACAAACTTAAGTAGGCCCAGGGACAAGTGACCATAGAGAGTATCAAATATCCAGTGAATGGTAGCATAATTTGCCAGAGATCGCATTATCAACTGGCCGGATACACATAAGTTAACAAGACCTCCGATGCATGCGCTGAAACAAGACAATAAACACAGGATGAATAAATTTGATAGCATTTGTGATCAAGTATTGTTATCTGACAGAACCGAGGAGGGAGCCTCTACGACCCTACTCGGTAGGACAACAAAATACAGTGCGATGCAACAAGAAGAACATCTTACCTGCTGGTAACCGGCTGAGCGAAACCAGCTCTGGTTAGCGCAGATGCCAATTGCAATAGTGGACCAATGGAGGGCGATAAATCGCTCGTAATATCCCGTAACATGACCCAAATGCGGTCGATCAGAACTCGAGCATGCTCTGTGCCTATACTGGTCAACCAAGCCGCGTCCACAACAGGCAACAACGCGGAGGCAGCTGCGGACCTTATGTCTTCATCAGCACCGCAGTTTTCTGACAGAGATGTGCCGTCTGCAAAAAAGTTCGCTGTTCTAGCAGGCTGCCCCACAAGTTGAGCCACAAGACAGGGAGTGACATGGGGTAGAAGCATGGAGTGCAGGTCCTGGATTATGAAAAATAAAGGACAGAGATTAGCACGATGGTGGTAAGACGTAAAATACGTGTCAAGATAATAAAGCTGATAAGTAGAAACACCAAGAGAGACACATTAGGTGTAGGGGAGGTGAAAAGGGTGATTGACAAAAAATACACAAGGCGATAAAAGCCACAGCAAATGCTGTCAGGGGTAACAAGGTACTTAAAAACGCGACAGACAAGAGGACAACACAGGTGATAAAGTGAGCACTTCGAGAATAAATTACTTACCTATTTGGCGATCCAATTACCCATATGGCAAACGAAGGTCAACAAAATAGGAGTAAAGTATGTGGTGAGCTCGCGGGTAAAATACGACAGCAGATTTATCCGTTTGTTGAGATTTGCCCTTAACGTGGTGCGACGGTTTGCGTACCTCATTGACCCATTGAGCTATACTGGGTGATGCCTCCGAGCATCTTGAGAGCTACTCCTACCAGGTTGGTCAATGGTGAGAGGTCAGACAAACTCAGTCTCCCGGTCCTCCAGGTTGGGGGTTTGAAATGGGATGGCATCCATTTCTGTAAAACTAAATCACTGCCACCCCGCTGCCTTGCGGACAGGCTTTTAAGCCAAAGGCTTTGGATGAGGACCCTAATCGTTCTCCTGTCTAGGTCTGGGCGCCCTGGCAGTATCCCAGCCCACATACAACCATGACATTTTCTTCAAACATAAACTTCATCCTGCATCGGCCGTCGCGCAGATTATCAAAGGTCGCCTTATCTGCTGCATACAGCAGGGCGGATAAGCGAAAGCATGCTACTGCTGGCGCCTCCCTTCTTTCTTTTCCACCTTTTTCTCTTACTCCCATCCCGGCCCCCATTACTAACCTTCCTTCTATAATTCCCAGCTTAACTGACAGCAACCGAAGTGCTACTGGAGTAGAACCATCTGCAGCCACCATCCCACAGCACCTATCGGACGCCTATCGGCAAAAGTCCCTTATAAGACCACGCTGTCCCGTTTCCATGGCGACCTTCAACGTCCGCACTCTAAGACAAACAGGTCAGCAGGCTGCACTCGCACGCACCTTGGACACACTGGGTGTTGATGTGTGTTGTGTGTCCGAAACTAGGATTAATGACCCTAACGGGGTTATTGAATTGACTGCACCCGGCTTATCCTCTCGTTATTGGTTGCACGCATCCGGAGACGCCGATGCGGCACTCACCGGTCAAGCTGGTGTAGGTATCATTCTAAGCTCCAAGGCTGAGTTATCGTTGGTTGATTGGATTCCGGTGAACAGTCGTTTATGTGCAGCCCGTTTGACGACATCAGCTAAGGTGAATTCGCGAAGTAAAACAAAACGCTGTTTGTTTGTGATTTCTGCTTATGCTCCCACTGACTGCAGTTCTAATGCAGTCAAGGACACTTTCTATCACGAACTGAACACGCTGCTACGCAGTGCTACTAGTTCAGATATTATAGTACTTGCAGGGGATATGAACGCACAAGTAGGGCGTCTGAGCTCTTCAGAAGCTCAGCTGGGTGGTAAGTATGGATTTAACTCCGAACGGACTGACAACGGCGAGCGTCTGCTGCAACTGTGTGCGGAGCACCAGTTGTTTCTTACTAGCACTGCTTTTAGACATAGTGGGCGCCGAAATGCCACTTGACGTCCACCTGTAGCTGGTCAGCGATGGACCCAAATTGACCACATAGCCATAAGTTACAGGTGGCGCGGTTCCATTCTGGATTGCCGCTCGTACTGGAGTACCTGTGTCGACTCTGACCATGCCTTGGTGCGCTGTCGTTTCTCCATGAACTTTACCGGAAGGCGCACCAAGCGTCTCCCCCGATTGGCAACGGAGAAATTGTCCCAGCCCTCTGTCAGGCAAGCCTATCAAGAAGCACTGCATAGCGAACTCTCGCTGTCTTGTCCTAATGATACTGAACTTCAGTGGAATAAGATCTCGGCCACTATGCACGACGCAGGAGCATCTGCTTGTGGCACTATCAGTCGTCATCGCACCAGTCACTGGATATCCGAGAGGTCCGTGAACCTTTTGGAAGCTAGAAGGCACCTCCCGGCTGGTTCTGAACACAATGTGACCAGACGGGCCATTAGGCGTGAACTAAAGCGGAGCCTATGTGCTGACAAGGAAGCCTGGTGGACCAGTCGGGCTCAAGAAATGGAGGAGGCAGGAGCAGTAGGCAATTACCGCAAGCTCTTCCAGCTAATACGCACCACTGGTCCGAGAAAACCAGGCGTCAGTGAGACAATCAGGGACAGCGCGGGTGCGCTGATACACAATAAGCAGCGCCGTATGGCTCGTTGGGCTGAGCACTTTGAACATCAGTTCAGCTGGCCCCCTGCTCCCGGACCTCTTCCTACTCAGGTGATGCAGGACGAGCCATGGACGGTTAGTTTAGAGCCTCCGTCGGAGGCCGAAGTCCGAAACGCGATCACAGCCCCTAATCGTTTTCGTGCCGCTGGCCCGGATTCCCTACCACCTGCACCATTTAAGGATGGTGGTGAGGTCCTCTGCAAAGCACTGACCTCCCTATTCGAACGTATCTGGAACGAAGAGAGTGTGCCGGCTAATTGGAGCGAATCGATTATAGTGGCAATATACAAGAAGGGCAGTCGCACAGACTGTGCGAACCACAGGGGTATTAGCCTAACGCCAGTTGTGACAAAATTACTGGCCTCGATTATCGTTCGTCGCCTCACTGCAGAACGGGAATCTCGGATTAGAGAAGAGCAGGCCGGTTTTCGCCCAGGACGTGGCTGTATAGACCATATATTTACTTTGCGGCAGGTGCTAGAGCAGCGCCACGCATACCGCAGACCGACAATAGCTGTGTTCCTCGATTTCAAGAGTGCGTTCGATTCAGTCGATCGATCGATTCTGTTCGAAATACTTGCGCGGAAAGGTGTTCCCACGAAATATGTGAACATCCTTCGTGCTCTATACTCGAACACTAGAGGCCGCGTCAGGGTCTATGGTGCCCTATCAGATAGCTTTTCGACTACAAGTGGCGTTCGACAGGGTTGCCCGATTTCCACATTTTTGTTCAATTTCGTCGTGGATTCTATCATGGAGTGTTCCCTTGCGGAATCTCACGATGTAGGTGTTGAAGTGCTGCCTGGTGAACGGTTAGTTGATCTAGATTATGCGGACGATATCGTCTTGCTTTTCGACAATGTTGAGGCGGCACAATCAACCCTGAATAGCCTATCCAGAGTGGTCCCATTATTTGGTATGCACTTCGCACCTTCAAAATGCAAAGTGCTGCTGCAGGACCACCAGCCACTCGATGACCCCTTGACGCTTGCTAACGAGGAACTCGATGTGGTTGATCAATTCACTTATCTTGGCAGCTGCATCAGCAATGATGGGCGCATAGAAAATGACGTTAGCTCACGCATTGCAAAGGCCAGAGCTGCCTTCTTGAACCTGCGTCATCTTTGGCGACAGAAGGGAGTTTCCCTCCGTCTGAAAGGCCGTGTATACAAGGCCACAGTGAGGGCCGTTCTGCTCTATGGTAGTGAAACTTGGCCCCTTCGGTCTGAAGATCTGAGGCGCCTTCAAGTCCTTGATCATCGTTGTTTGCGAAGCATTGCTGGTGTCGGATGGCACCAGCGTGTCCGCAACGATGATGTGCGTAGGCGAGTACTAGGGGGTGATGATCATGCTAGCTCCCTAGAACAACAGATAGCACTGAATAAGTTACGTTGGCTCGGGCACGTGCTACGTATGCCTGGTCACCGCTTACCTAGGAGGGCCTTGTTCAGTCTACCAGGTGTAGGATGGCGCAAGGCTCGAGGTGGACAGAAGTTGACTTGGCAGCGGGAAATGAAGTCACTGACGATCAAACTGGGTGCCGTTGGTCCGTCTCGCCTTCCGGGTTGGGGACCACGTGACTCACCTTGTGCTTGGCTCGAGACTTTACAGGACATGACTCGCAACCGACACCAGTGGCGCGTCTGCTGCCGTCTCCTAACCGGATTGTCTGTTTAAAGTGTGTTTGGTGCTGAGTTATCTGCGGGGTAATGGCTGATTATGACGCGTGGCAGTGAAAGCCGCAAGGAAGCTGTCTCGCCGATGCCGCCTTATCTTTGCACGATAGCCAGCTGTTTGTGACGGTATGTTGTTAACACAAGGTGTAGGCGCCTTGACCCTGAATGTTTGCTTAGGGCATTAAGGTTTTCAGGTAAGTCCCCCTTCTCTCCCTTTTCTTATTCTTTATTTCATAGGTCCTCATGGTTGTATGGCAGCGAAGCATCAGTTCAAATGGCTGATGTACTGCTGTTGATGATGATGATGATGAATGAGAACTGAAGTCCAAGAAGATTCGCCAAATTTAGCCAATACACCCGGAAAACCACCGGGACGACGCGCGTTCCATTCGAACTAACTTACTTACAAGGCAATGACACAGAACAAGGAGCCTAAAACGACAGCCGTAGGTGAGCACGAATAAGTTAGCAGCCGTGGTATGGCACTAGTCGCTCTTCGATGCTGCGCGCGTTACTGCTGTGGAGACAGCAGGTTTAGTCGCCAAAGCTACCAATTCGATAGATAAGTAGTCAGTGAAGTTCTGACACTACAATCCAGTTATGATGACGATTGGTTTGTATGAAACAACAAAATTGGGAGATGGCGTTTTCAAATTTGACGTAACTAAGCTTAGTCAGAAAATAAACATGAAAAAAGAAAAGAATGCGGAGGATGCGCCGTATTATTTTGCAGCTAGTGGCCATGATGCTTAATCCGCTACTCTGAAAAGCGCGTGTCGAGGGTTAGAAGGTGCTGTGCGTTGCTGATAGGATCAGACATGTTGAATCGACGTAAGTGACGAAGGTAGCTATGATGAGCCTTGATAAACTATCCGAAAAGTCTCGCCACAACGCAGTGACCAATCATTGAACGTCGATGGTGGGTGTACTCTCTCGTGCATATGAAGGAACAGAAAAAAATATTCGGGCGTTGGGCGAACAAACCATGTCTCCAACGGTATCACAAGACAAAATCGTAAGTTTCAATTAATACAGTTAACAGAAAATCCTTCTATTCTCTAGTCATTAATTCAGGTCATCAAATCAACATATTTCTCTGCTCCGAGTTGCGGCGGTTCAATACATTTGACATCCCGTCAAAAGGATATAACAATAATGATGACTCCAAGAAAAATAACGATCAGAGGTCTAGGGTGGAAGGCTAGATGGTACATGAGGAAACGTATGCAAGAGCACCACTGACTCGCTGATTTCGCAGCGTCTGACACTTGATGGGCCCGGTCTCCATAGAAGGAAGACAAGCACCATCTCCACTCAGGCTTTTCGCGAACCCCTTCGAGCTCTTCCGCAATGTCACTGAACGATCACCAAGAGAGAACATTTAACTAGACAAAGTATTAGTAAATAATACATGTCGAAGTAGCCAACTGCTAAGGTTGCTGGGCACACGACCGAGACAACGAAGGCCGTTTCAACTCAATAACTAATTCAATGAAGTACGGGAGAGATTGCTGCCAAACACCATTCAACAAATTTTTATATAACTCAGTTCTGCAACCAGATATGAGAAATACATCGTAGGTAGTGGTGTTTATATGCAGTCATATTTTTGCAACAAATAGGCAATGCGAAAATAACTCGGTATTACTAGCGTGTTCTGTGCAGTTGAGATGGGAAGAGTAAAATTTGTATGGAGGACAAAACAAGGAAAAAATTAATCTTATGGCATCAAGGAACGAGAATACAAAAGAAGCGACAATGAAAGAGCACACATCACAGTGGAAATGTTACCTCAGCTTGGGTAAAAGGGCTATGATCGGATTACCGAAGTTCGGTGGAACCAGCTGACATGATTTGTGCGACCGGAATAATGACAATTAGCAGTGGTGACGAAAATGGGACAGAAAGCAAGTAGAATATAAAGGGATTCACGAAGATAGTGAGTAAAATTAATCGGGAAGCAACATTAATAACTAGATACAAGGGACTGAATGTAGGTGCGTTCATGAGCCCGCAAAAATGCGAGTATTCGAGGTTGATTTACTTTTCGCGATGCAAGCAGATATTTGATTCCCAGAAGACCACCGTGGACAATCATCCACGAGTTCTTCCAGGGTGCCACTACCGCATGGGGATTGGAAAGGGACTGTTCCACGAAGTGCCGTGCATCGAGGGAAATCAAGTAGGTGAGATGTTTGGAGACCAACAGAACTTGTTCAGCAGAGAGGTGAAGACTTAGCACGCCAAGAAGTTGGGCAGCAGTCTCTCTAACAGGAGCAACTACCTGGAAAAGAATATAAATACAGATTGGTAGTTAATAACTCACTGCCTCGGTGAATGTAAATAAGAGAACGCCCCAATGCAGTTAGGCCGCTTCCTACAACTACCGTGAGAGATCCAGAGTTGAGGAGTCGAACATACAGGTTACGTTGATTTTCTACACAAGAACGCAAGCAAACAAATACATAGAATATACTCGGAGAAGTAATGTGAACATTGGAATTGTCGTCAGAAGACCCAAGAACGAATGTTTTATCTGGAAGCTCAGAAACAGCCTTCACTTGCTTAAACCAAACAGATAATCGTGATTGAGACGCAGTATCTAAAAGGTCAACCAAAAAGAAGTATCATCATGCGAATAAGCGTTGAAATTGGTACTGAATGAGTTGTGAAATGGTGGACCCGAAGAGGGCAAGGAAAAAAATATGCACCGATTCCGGTTGTATGGCTTTGATGGATGCGGCAGAGATAGATAACCAGCCAAATCACTGGACAAATGTATAGTCTAGACATCAAAACTTAGGGTGTTGAGCATAATAAGTCGTAGTATTAAACCGCGGTTTCACAATTGAGATCCTGGAACATGCCTTATAATATGAATAAGTGAAAAGACCCATGAATGCACGCGTATTTTTAAAGCGGTAAGCGATATGAAAACGCAGTTGCTCTGAAATAGTCACCGTTTTATGAAAATGTGAGCATTCCCTGCACTTTGACAAATGTTTGTAATGTATTTATCGTTACCCCATTATCTCGGTTGGTAATGTACCGATCGCGCAATCTCAACTCACAGAGACGTGTTATTTTCTGTGGATAGACTAAATACCCCCGCACAAAGTGTCCCGCAAAAGATGCCATTTAGCAAAGCATGTGGGAAAACGGGGCATTTTAAACGTGTGTAGATCCAAAGCCGCTACCTCATCCATCCCTTCAGTATTCTATCCGCTTTGGTCTTCTGCTCTGACGGCTGTATCTTTTAGCTGCTCCTCTCGTACAACAATCAAAATTCTTGTAAACAACATCGAATTGCATGTCCTAATTGATACTGGCAGTTCTGATAGCTATGTGTCTCCGTCCGTCGTCAGGCATGTACATTTATGGGGAAGATTGAGCAAACAGGGTAACTAACTAAAGCTGAGGTGAAGGCAGTCAGATCACAGTTTAGAATAGGGTCGGTGAAGCAAATCGATAGTTCAGTCAATCAAGTCAGATGGTAGAAGTTACGACACCGTGTCGCGCGTATACAAACGGAAACAGCGAAAGTAAGAACGTGGACGTGTACTGTGTGATGGAGGATCACAACCAGAACCACAGCTCTTGGCACCGCACATAGTTGCCTAGATACGGCAAAGTCACGCGCGGAGTCTGTCGCTCACATTAGCTATTTTCATGACCAGTGACGATGTTGCGCATTATCGACTCCAGTGGGTATCAAGCTATACGTGTGGGTCATGCAGGCATCTGCTTGGCAGCATCTCTACATATTTAATTCCATGCCACCTGATTTCAGCCACTCGAGGTTGTCCGAGTTTGACGCTTAGTACAGTCAAACCTGCTTTATTGCCCATGCAGTTTATGGCACACCTCCCTTTATTGCCAAGTTTTTCAAAATACATTCTTTTCTCATAAATAGGCTAAATTTTCACCGTCTAATTGCCCATCACCTGGGTCGTCCCACCGCTTAATTGCCCAGCTGCGTGGGCTATGCTCTTATCGTTTGTCAATTTTATACCCTCTCTTCGACACTTTTATTAAGATTGCCCCACAGTTAGCCGGTCTGATCGAGTCAAAAACAAGGAAGATGTCGGCGACGTTATTGTCATACCAGATAAGTTACTTATGTCATTCAATACAGGAGCAAGCTAAATGTACAGACCACTGTGACCAAACCCTCGGCTCTATTCAAAACTCGAGAACTGAGCAAAGTCAGGTAAACTTTCCGCTCCACATTTGTCACTAGTATATTGGTTACACACAAGTATGCCAAGTAACAGAATGGATTTGTCCTTCGCAGAAAAGTTGGACGTTTTGAACAAATTAGAACATATCGACTAGGAACCTCGCAGATCGAGATATGGCGTGATTTACACATTCCTCGTCCTACTCTAGCCAGGTTGATTGTCAGTGAAAAGGAACTCCGGCAGAATTTGTCGTATGGCACTGCAAGCTCTCAGAAAAGGAAGCAGTGTGGAAAGGATGAAGAAGAAACTGTATGGAAAGACTGGAGGGTCTCGGTTCGTGAGCACAACCAAACAGTTACAGGTCCGCTTCTGAAGAAAAAGGGAGGATAATTCGGGGAAGGATTTGGAAAAACCTGTGCTGCCACAGAACAGTTGCGAAGATGGAAGAATAGAACTCAAATTGTGTATAAACGTGCATATGGCAAAAAGTGTTCGGCGGACAGAGCAATCCGTGAAGACTGGCTGAAAGATCGACTGCCTGAACTTGTAAATGTTTTTTTATGATGTGTACAATGCAGACGAAACAGGTCTTTTTTTACGGAGCAACTGAAGAATGCTCTTTGTGTCTTGCTGCCGACAAGCGCAGCAGATGGAAAAAGTCATGGATAGGACCACTTTCCTGTACTGCGCGAATATGTCAGGCACGGCTAAAAGAAATAGAGTATTGATTTAAAAGGTAAGAAACCACGATGTTTTAATGGCGCGAACGTACTTACACTCCCCGTAACTTACAAAGCTAACAAAAATGCGTGAATATCGTAAGAACTTTTTATCGAGTGGGTCCTCGAATGGGACAAGGAGCAAAGCTAATGTGAACTAAAAGTTATGTTGCTGTTGTATAATTACACAGCGCGTCCACAGGTAGAAGAAGTGGAAGACATTCAAATGGGATTTTTACAGGTAAACACGGCCAGCATTCTTCAACCCGTGGACCAAAGTGGGATTATGAATCTAAGAACCCGTTACAGAAAGAAAATTGTGAATGGAATTCTTTATCACATCGAAAACAACGTGTTATCTTGCTCATCACCGGCGGTGGACGTCAGCGCCAAGAATTCTGTGCGCAATGCAATTAAGTTCCTTTCAAAAAGTTGGAGACAGGTTACCGGTGCAACAATAAAAGCGTGCTTTCGCTATGCTGGCTTCAGTCGACTAGAATCCGATGCAGTTTCTGACGACGCTGTCATCGCTAAAGACGAGATCAGCGCTTGCACAATCTCAGCTATGAATGCAGAAGAGCTCGTCGTCATTGACAAAGATGTGGAATGTACTTCAGACCTGACAACTGTTGATGATGAAATCGTCAGTAAAACCGACTAGAACAGAAAGAAGGCAGCGACTCAGAGGATGACGTGCCGGATGCCTCTGTGAGTAACAGCAATCAGCGCGTGTCGTAGTTAAGAGCAAATAACTGTGTGAATGATCGGTGTTGCTACGGACTTTTGCATGGGTAAGGCAACGATTTTTAATATCTCAATCGGACATCAACAGAGCACAAGTGACTGAGGTATCAGCATGAAATAATGTACAACTGACGTTGGATTGTTCTCTCAGCAAAAATATACAGCAGCGCTAATTTCTAGAGCTATCCAGGTAAAATGTTTTATGTTATGACTTTTAAATTATAGGTCATGCTTTTCTGGATGTCTTTTATAGGCTTCAGTTAAAAGTATGTATTTTATCATTCTTAACACGTTACAATTCAAGTGATATACTGTACAATAATGCAATGGTTGTTTCCTTTTTGGGAAAAATGGCAATATCCGTTAAGTGCCCACTCCGCTTTATTGCCCACTTTTTAAATATGCCGATGGTTGGCAATAAAACGAGTTCGACTGCATTCCACATCGCCTCCACTTGCTTTTCCACTTTCAATTATCTATGTCGCTCCGGGTACTATATGCCTGGGGTTACCTCGCTCATGTCGACGTTGTTGTTGGCGCTCGTGTACATCTCCATTCGGAAGTCATGACTGCCGTGATAAAGTTGAACTTACACTCCGGGTTTCCCATTTTAATATCTATTTTAGACTGTTGTTGTCAAATATTATGTGCAAACCCTTAGCTTACCTCGTTCACACGTGGCACGATTACACCCCCTCAGAACTCACTCTAGCACGGGTCAATATCTCCTATTTCGCATCGATTGTTCCCCTTTTCTTCAAACCAGCTTAACTGTTGCGTTGGAAGGCCACATCATTTACGATAACAGAAGTTAGTACATCCATAGGGTTTAGCAGCCGTTTCAGATGCATGTAACCCGCTTGGTCTGGAACTATTAGTCCGTACATACCGTGAATTGGAACAATGTGCTTCGCCTGTCGAAGAACTGTTCAACTGAACGTCTGTGTATGTTTCCACACACTGAGGTGCAAACTTGCGGACTCTGGGTCCAAATGTGTGATAGCTACTGCTTCGTTTGTACCAGGGGAGAGTTCAGTCGCACAAAGCAGTTGTACGGGCTCAAGGCATGAAGCTCCCCATACGGCACCAAAAATCATGTTGCTTCATATTTTTTCCACTCTGCGCATCGGAGTGGTAAATGCTCGGAACAGTCTGCAGGAACAAATCGCAGAGGCCAAAGCTGTGCAGCAGTGCAAAACTTGTTGGATTAACATTTCACCATTATTCGATTCAGGGAACAATTGCACTCTGGCAATGACATCATACATTTATGAGCTCAAGGATACTGAGATATTTTTATAATGCTAAATAAGAACTTGAAGAACGAGTAAAGTATCAACAGATGACAGACACACTTTATAACATTTCTGAGTTTACGTGGCTTGCGGCATAAGGACTGGACCGGTGAGGGAAACTAGGACTCTACACATTGTTCCACCGTCGGGTGCAAGTCGAGCTTATTCTGACCTACCGTATTCTACATCTCGGTGACTTCCCCATCATGCGGCCAAAGCTGCAGATACGAGGGCCGTGCAGCACACGCGGACACCGACTGAAACTTGTTGTGCCGGATGTGAAGCTAGTTCCCCACCCAGTGTGCATCGAACAGAGGGTGGTAAATATTTGAAACAGTTTACTTGAACACGTGATGGAAGCCCCATATATACAGCAGTTTAAAGCGATGTTGGATTTATATTTTACCACTATTCGATGCCGAGAACGACTGCACACTTACGATGACATCTCACACTTGTGAGTCCTGAAATACCGTGAGTCAGATATTTTAAACATTACATGAGAACGATAACGATATTCACGGCTGACAATTTGTAGAACGTTTTTCGTCATATTTCGAAGAAGTTGCATAGAATTCATTTCCACTTCCTTTAACAATGTCTTGGTCAAAACGAGCCCAAGCGTGATTAGGGAGTGCTAACTCAACAGGTTGTACGCAGATTCTAAACGGTTACTGCTGGGCCAAAAACGCTTTTCTGACACTCGATGAAGAGCAAATTGAATGTGAGTGCTCGAACCGTCTGACATTCCTGCAGCTAATTAAGACAGACGAGAATACAGTAGCTAGTAGGTAAACTGAGACAATGATCATGAGGCGGTACTGGGTAGAAAAGTCCCTGGACCGACGAAGATACGCGATTGCATAAATTAGTTTGTGACCATGTCTGGCAGCTTGACAAGATATAGTGTATGACGACAGCTGTGGTCTGCTTCGTGTGAAAGCATGGATGGCGTTCAAAAAGTCCTAAATGCGACAGACTTTGATGCGTGGAAGGGTTGTAAAACTATATGATGAGTAAGTCGAGATAAAAGATATCGATTCGGCCAGGTTAACCACCCGTGAATAGAGCACTGCAGTGCGATTGATGCAAGCGATATTGCACTGGCGTCCGATCGGTGACCGTGAGGGCAGTTTATGCTAGAACGCGCCTGCAAGAAGGGAATAATCGAGTGATGAGAGGAGCAATTGAATAAAAGTTTTAACTAACGGTTATTCTATGCAGCCAGAATACTTGGAAGACGAATTCAAAAAGTTCACATAATGGGCTAAAATAGCCGCTGTTGATGAAAACATTAGAAAAACGGGTTAGTTCCCGCAGTTGAAAAGTTGGTTTCCCTAGTAGGGAATCGAAATATCGAAGTGGTGAAAAGAGCAAGAAGTGTAATAAGTCAGTCGGTTGAATACAGTACAATTAATAATCAATAGAGAGAAATGAGTAGAACATGCGACATACCTCATCTGAAATGAAATCGGATAATTGATCCAAAGCCAAGGTGCACAAGACACGAACGACAATGTCCTCCAAATACAATACATGGCTGGTCATCATCTGAGAGAAAAAAATCACAAATGATAGGAAAGGTAAGAAAATAGCGAGCGAAAATTAAGTAATTCAGAGTACAGGGTCTTTCAAGTAATGTAATGAGGATTCCTCACAGTAGCTCCAAGTCAGACGGTGTACCACCAATCCAGAAAAGCACCAGATGGCCGTTTCGTCCCGTTGGGACTCGTTATTAGTGTGCTTCTTCCGATTCCAACAAGAACAGAGCCCTCAATGAGTTATACCGAAAGTCCCCTACTCACAAGTAAGCAAAGCATTCACCCGTTTGGCTTCTAGGTGCTGTGTTATACACAGCTTCTATACATAAAGAAAGAAAGGCATCAGCAGTACGCCGGTACCTAGTAACGACGCTTCACTGCCGCGCAACCACCACCGGTCGCATGTGGTCTAATGATGCTGCGAGGGTCACCCAGGCCTTACGGAGGCTCGAACTCGCGCCGTCAGATTGCAAGAGAAGCTTGTTACCCTTAGACTACGGGCCGGCTCTAGACTCCGAAATTCGTGACCCACAAGGCGGTGGAGGATAGGTCGCAAGTTATCGCAATTAGCCTGTAAATCGTGATGGTCTGTCGCCGTCGCCCGTGGCATAAACCTCTGGTGTCGACCTTATGGATTCCGTTGCTTGAGGACGCGGGGAAAAGTATACTACAAACAAGTCCCAATGGGACGAAACGGCAGTCCAGCGTTTCTTCGGATGCACAGAAGACTGTCTGACTTGGGGGCAGCGGGGAAAACTCTCAATAAATAACAGAGTTTCACACGAGTGCCACATGTGAAGCATAAGAAGGCCGTCATCAATTCAGATCACAGACAGTTTATGAATTTCGATTAAACGAAGGTGAGATGAAGTGGGTCTAAAAGGCCGTAGCCGGGAGATGCAAGTATTAGTGATTACTTAATGGCTAATGGCACTGCAAGGAACTAGTTGGGTCAGGTGCACAAACAACTGCAAAACTGTGGCAGATGTGGGCTCTGCAAATGAACATGAAAATGAAAATAAGGAAATTCTGAGTGAAAAGATGCAACGGGTGAGGCACGTTTAGAGAGTCGCAGTTAATCTATTAATCCATGTCTGAATCTTTCCAACATTCCTATTAATTAAAGGCGATAGTGAAAAGAACCGTAGGGGTTCGTAACTATGAGCAATCGGTGAGCATACCGAAAAGCTTCAAGACACAAAGTTTATCCGTGCTTCGTGAAGGGACACAGATCAGATGGTTTAGCAGGATCCAAGAGAGTTCATCGCCCAAAGTTAGCTGCCGCATTGCACCAGCGCTCGCTCGTTGTTCCAACCGGAAATGCAGTAGGTCAAGGACGGTCACTCCCTTAATACAATGATCTTATAATAACTGTCTCCGAGCCAAACGATAATACTGCCCGCTAAGATGACATTAAACGCTTTCCAGAGATGATTCAGTTGTAAAAGCATGTAGGCCTCACCAATGTATGCAATAGTTTATCTAGAAATTCGACTGAAAGGGTGATCTAACTGCCCACACAACTGACCGATAACACCGCAGTCGCTAGTGAGAACTAGTGGTGCGTAGGCTCAGTTGCGCAGTAGCAATTTGCACTTCGAAACAAAAACCCAAGTGGGTAGCACACAGCGTCACTTGATGTAGATGCGATGGTACGGTAGCAGGGTTAGACCCCAAGAAACAACATTGTCCGTATATTCTGTCGGTCGATCACCTGGCAGTACCCCCGCCCAAATACGTAGCCAGGACAGTTAATCCCCGTGGCATAAATTAAAATTTGAAAAAGAAGAGAAATCGGGCATTTCTAAAATATTCATTCGTCGTGGACAACTAGGAAGGGAACTTTTTGTAGGCTCGCGATGGTCCTGTGGTAATATGAAAGAAACTGCAAAATATAAGCGGTATGTTTCCAGCTTACATCGACCAAAAATGGACAGCGCAATAAAGATGAGACATCAACCGAATAATCAAATTCACACGAGCGAACACGTAGTGGGAGTATATAAGGTTCAGTATCGGTAAGGTTAATAGATACAGGTTGCAAGTGAGAAATTAATAGACAGGTGAATAATGATGAATTGTTCATACAGAATGGAAACACAAAAACCTATAGTGAAATAAGTTTGAGAGAAAAACGAGTCGTAAATTTCGACTCGAAAGTAGGCCGAGCGTTGAGCTAACGGAACCAAGAGCCTACTAAAAAGAAGGAACATAGATAGTCGAGCAGAAAACCGTACACGACTGCAGAGACCAGTTGCTTATGTGGACACAGGTAATTCAATTCACAAAGACCAACAGACGCCAGAAAGACAAAAATCAACGCGGCTTGTGATCACAAGTGGAAATAGTGGCAGCCACAGTTAAACACGGTTAGGGGAATGGGCTTGTTATTGCCAAGCGCTCAAACGCAGCGAAACTGCAACATGGGTGACAAATACCAGTGCGTGCATCATCCGAATGGAAGCACAGAATGCACGCTCTTTAAAAGTGGAGTTCTGCCATGTCGATTAAAGCAGAGAAACAACGGAAGTCGAATTAAGGTCTCCTGTGATTTTCAGATACGGCTCTAACAACTCGAATGCAATGAATGCCGCACAGCCGAAATGCCTTGAAAAGCTCTCATCCTGTCTGTGATAGGTGCACTGCAGACATTACTGCTATAGTGAACAACAGGGATGTAGCCGGATTTATCCGGGGACTAGTGTACAACAGTGAAGCGATGACGAAACATCTGCAACCGGCTTGCTAGCAACGACGGGCAATTTAACACCAAAGAGTCAACCCGAGTTTGTAGTTATTGTAGCAACGGAGCTATACGTTCAACAGCTTCGATCAGTATTTGACGCATTTGGCCAAATAGGCGACATATATCCACTGCAGAGGAAACCGAAGTACGAACAGCGAATTGCGCGGTACTATTGGGGCTAAGAACGCAAGACCGTCAGTCAGAAAGTGGTAACTGATTCAGTGTAGGTACAGCTTCTTCGACTGAACATGGTTTATACTCAGAACAATCACCAATGAGAAAATGTCATTTCTCAGCAAAGTGAGTAAACTAGTTTGCGTCGATTGTGACAGTTATTGGAACACTCAACAACATCGGTGCCGTGTTTTAGCCAGTGGTAATGCGTGTCTACATGACGGATGATGGGCGTAAAAATGCAGAGAGAAAAAAAGCGGATACGTGGGGGAACGGGTATGAAGCACGGAGAACGGATAGCATTTTGCCCTCCCCACCTGATAAGACATGGCGCTTTACTTACAAGATAGCGCAGTGAGCGCATCTGCGGAGAAAAAAATTATGAGCTGAGTGCAAGGGAGAAGTTCATATATGTTTGTGCTTCAAAAGGCTAGGTTGAAGCGTGTCACCAATAGTATTATACAAGAGGTAGAATCTACTGAAAACCAAACAACCATTTACTCCAACCGTTACTTGCGGCTCACGGACTTAAGGATTACAAGCCTGCCTTGTAACCTTAGGTCGTGGGTTGGAGCCTGCGTAGGGCCCAGCGACCCACGCAATTATCCTTAGCCCACGCGCGACTGGTGGTGGTTGAGCGGCAGCGAAGCGTCGGTACCACGTATCGGCGTACTGCTGATGCCTTCTTTTGCCTAGCAACACGCCGTACCTAAAGCAAGACCGTAGCAGTCTTTGCACCTTCTAGTACATAAACCACCGTTATGCAGAGTAATTGCATTAGTATTAAGACGAGCAAAGTGAAGATTGTAAGCTACTGAGCAGTTTAATCATATCGTTCCTCCTTGACTGTAGCCATACAGCTACTTAGAATGACTTCAAAGTCATGTAATCACTACCTGAGCACTTCTCGTAAACATTTCAAAAGCAACTCCTGTCTATTGCCAATGCTATTTAGATACACCGTCTGAAACCGGAATTATGTATACAAAAACGATTCATACGGCCGATGCTACTACCCACTGACATTGTTACTTAATTATCCCTTTGAAACATTATCTAGTTAATTTAGACTACTGTTTTATGTAATGGTTTTCCCTTAGTGCACTTTGGTCGTCATCTGTAGCCGTCCTAAGTCATCGATTTTGATCATTTAAACAGGTTAGAAAACAATCTCAACCCGAGTTAACGCTTTCCCCACACAATCAGCGTTATATAAACGTTTGGATCTGATGAGAGTTTAGCGAAAAGAACTCTTTACTCTGAAATGATTTCTGGTCTTGATTTATGTTAATGAAATGGGGATATTTGCTTATCTGAAATAGTGCCCGTGATTCGCTTAAGATATGTACTTATGTAGTAAAGGCGAATAGGGCTTCCAGTATGCAAGGAAATTGGATATGAAAGAGGACCTACACGACTGCTAGGATCAATATGGCGGTGCACAGATCAATGTTGTAAATGCATCTTCTTTGCAGCAGAAACAAGCATGTTACAAGAGGGTCTGGAGAAGGCGGGGTGGTGCGAAGGAGCTGTGTACTGGAGAACGAATGTAAATATGGTAAAACATTTCTAGCGTAGAACAGTCGGACTCAGTTGCGCACATCATTCGTGGTGCCACTTGATTCCACGATGAGCATTGTGCTATCGACTCACGGTACGGTATAGGTGCAATGCTCCAAAGCCATTCATTTTCAGGGCCAGTTGAATCGTGCACGACCCGCCCATCGTCCGCGGCGATCGATTATTCGCTGTATTCATCGCGCCTGCTCGTTTTACCATACTACTCAGTGGTAGTGCATCACACTCCCTCTAAAGCCTCCGCGGCCGTCGACCTCGCACGCAGTCCCTCCGACCTTCGGAGCTGCCCCATGTATGCCGTAGTTTCCTCTCCGCGCTCGTACAACTACCTTAATTCGCTAGTGAGAACTCGCAACCTATCTCCCAGACGAGGGATGATGTAGACGGGACCACGTCGATCGAGTATATCATTTGGTCCCTTCCACTTCGGCAGGAGTTTCCACTCGCCTGAGCCACATGAGGTCGCGCATTAACAATCTCTGTAATTTACTTTCGAACCGATTGGAAAGTCA